ATTATCAAACTCATTTGCTTGAGGCCTAAACATTTTGAACAAAATAAATGCAGAGAAAAGCAAAAACTGCTCAAACTTTTAATTTACAGCCAACAATTAATTGCAACGATCAATCAAGTGTTTACCTTATGAAACGGGCCAAGTTCTTGAACTCCGGCGTAAGACTTGAAGTTTTCATTGACTATTTTGGTTATCATTAGTCGGGCGGTGTTAGCTTCGTTTTTAGGTTGTTCTGTAATCATGGCTTCTTCGGCTTCTTCACTTTCTGGTCTTGGTAGTTGCTCGTTGGAAGTTACATCGTCCGCCATTTTGCTTTTCAGTTTTGGCGCCAAAATGTTTTCCCATGATCCATTTCGTGTAGAGTTTCATGACGCTTACATGAAGAAGCAAACTACGATTATTATCTCCGTTGATCAAAAGCATGGCAAATGTGAAATTGAGGTACCCCGGCGGGGGTAGTCCCTCAACCCTTAAGGTTAACCCATATATGGGCTATATAGGTACGTGCCGCGGAATAGGGTATGGTTTTTGAGGTTCTCAGTCCTTAAATAGGGTACCTTTTTGACCCTTTTGTTTCTGTGTCCCTGGTCCTTAGATAGGGTAGCTTAATTGTAATATAACAATTATTCACCGAAGTGGAGGTGGTTAGTCCTGGATATTTACCGAACTGCGAAGCAGTGAGGTAAATATCCACGACTAGCCACCGACACTGAGGTGAATAATTGTTTTAGTATATACTAAAACAGTGAGATAATTGAGCACAAAAACGACGATTTTGTAACTCAAATACTGTTACCAACGATTACAATTTTGGCGCGTAATGACCGGGCGGCTGAGGCCGTCGCTTTTTCTTGCCGGGAACTAAAACTTTTGAAGGCATTTGTCTGGCTCTTGCGGGGAAATTTCTTCAAAAGGAGTTGTGAATTCTTTTTGTATTTAAAATCATTCTATAAAAAAAGATTATTAAATTTAGTTTTAAGCTCATTAATGAACAACTCAACTAAATAAACTAAGCAAGACTTAAGCTTCATTTGCATTTGTAAACAAAAAACTTTTTCACCGGTTTTATCGATAAATTCGTGTCAAAAAGACAAAGCTTTACCTGTTAAAACTTCCAATCCGAACTTCGTCACCTTCTTCGTGTATTTCGGAAACAGCTTGCTTGATTAGTTGTGAAATTTCTTTGTTTGTTTAAGGCAGCAAACCGGGAAGGCATTTTGCTTGCAACTTACACGAGTTTGGCGTCGCTCGCTNAGGTAGACAGTCTTTGTGTTGTCCTAACCTCTAACCAGAAGTTGCAAGATATTGAAAGAGATTCGTAATTTGCGAAAGACAAGGCTCCCTGGGAGCAGAGCCTGAGTCTTTTTCATCGAGGGTGGAGAAAACGAGCCGAAATCCTGGAAGGGTGAGGACAAGGCCAATCAATGGCCATCATAGGGAGTACCCCCCGCCCCGCCCCCGCCGGGACGGTAGCCCAGTATGTACGACCAAAATGGAAATGAATACATGAACTTTGTCCTATAGGAGGAAAGCGTATGAACCCTTGGGAGAATGAAAAGCCAAAGGATGACACTCAGTGGCGTTCGAATAATTTCGGCAAACTGTAATGTCACAAAAAAGCCGAAAAGGAACTAAATTAGACCCGTTCTAGTAGATACGACTTTTCACAGAAAAACAAACCTTAAAGAAATATAAAGCAAAGCAATCGAATAGATCGTTTTCACTGTCACGAAACGAAAAAATAAATTGGAAACCGTCCAGTGGAAGAAACCAAGAAAATGAAATGTTATAAAAGACTAATATATAAACAATTTGTCCAAATTTCAGGTCTTTGTGGCCCACAGTTTCTGAGTTATTTGTCGAAACGTTTCACGCAACTTTGTAGAGCTTTGTATTGAAACGCCATATTGGTGGACCGTTTTGGTCCACCAATATGGCCGCCGGAAATCAACAAAAACATCTGCAGTTTACTTTTTCTATAAAAGCTCTTTGTCTTCACTCGAGAACTAGCATACGTGCGCATAAACATATCTTCTAATACTTAAAATGATTATACCGCTGAAAATCAAGAGAAGAAGCTTTTTTTCAACGAGACAGCATTCCGTTTTTGATGTCACGCACTGTGAAAACTCGGAAGTTCAAACTGCTGTATTTTCGAAATAAAACATGCTACGGGAATGGTAAACTTGTACAAAGATTTACTTTTTGTTTATCTTCAACCTACTGTAAATAAAAACTCGTTAAACCTCGCTATTTGGACTTTACTATTTGATGACGTCACTGTGAAAACCATCTATTACAGGAAATTGCATCAGTTGGTACCTGATAAAGACTAAGTGCGCAGTCAGAACGTGAGTCCTTGTAACGTAAAAGGTCAGGAGCCCGCTCCTGAAAAGGTAGAACTTTCAAACAAATTGAGAGTCATGTTTACGGTAATTTGTACCACGTGACCAAGTTTTCTCTCTAACTGTCGTTTAACGTTTATTGCTTCTACACAAAAAGTAGTAATTTCACACCAGTTCTGACGTTTCGTAAAAGTGACCCTTAAACCTCTCTAATATCTCCAATGGTATACATTTTCTTCGAGTGAAGTAGCGACTGCGTCACTTATTGTCTCGTATGCAGGATACAGTCCCTACTTCCATAAACTGCAGCAACTGTAGCAGATGCAGAATTGGAGGGGGAACACAGAAACATTCATTAAGTGGTACTACAGGGAGACTCATAAACAGGGACGAACAAACATTTCAACCCTTTCTCAGATGGATTTACCAGCAGGGTGTCACCTTGAAAAGAGTACAGACTCCTGAGTCCCGAGTCCAGGGTCTTGGCTTTGTGTTTACGTAGATTTAGCCCGGAGTCAAGGGAGCAGTCTAGATTGGCTAGAAACAACGGCCCGATAAATAGTGGAGTGTTGGGCGGACATATCAACAACAACAAATTTTATTGAAAANATTACAGGAAATTGCATCAGTTGGTACCTGATAAAGACTAAGTGCGCAGTCAGAACGTGAGTCCTTGTAACGTAAAAGGTCAGGAGCCCGCTCCTGAAAAGGTAGAACTTTCAAACAAATTGAGAGTCATGTTTACGGTAATTTGTACCACGTGACCAAGTTTTCTCTCTAACTGTCGTTTAACGTTTATTGCTTCTACACAAAAAGTAGTAATTTCACACCAGTTCTGACGTTTCGTAAAAGTGACCCTTAAACCTCTCTAATATCTCCAATGGTATACATTTTCTTCGAGTGAAGTAGCGACTGCGTCACTTATTGTCTCGTATGCAGGATACAGTCCCTACTTCCATAAACTGCAGCAACTGTAGCAGATGCAGAATTGGAGGGGGAACACAGAAACATTCATTAAGTGGTACTACAGGGAGACTCATAAACAGGGACGAACAAACATTTCAACCCTTTCTCAGATGGATTTACCAGCAGGGTGTCACCTTGAAAAGAGTACAGACTCCTGAGTCCCGAGTCCAGGGTCTTGGCTTTGTGTTTACGTAGATTTAGCCCGGAGTCAAGGGAGCAGTCTAGATTGGCTAGAAACAACGGCCCGATAAATAGTGGAGTGTTGGGCGGACATATCAACAACAACAAATTTTATTGAAAATTGAAAAATAACTAAGTACATTACTTTCCCACCCGCAAATAGCTTATAAACTAATCGAGGCGGGGGGAGCTGAAGACGTATTACAAAACGAGATTTATATATAGATAGACTAAATAACAGTGAAAACACTACTATACAGTAAATAGAATTTAAACTAACATAAAACAAGTCAAGTACATAACGATCATGAAGAGAGACTAACCTAAAGTATTAAATAACTTAATAAGACTTTAGATTTGAGATCGTTATTTTCTCTTCTAAGGTTGGCAATAGACTCAGGCATAATATGACACACGAAACAAGATAACCAAACAAATAGAAGAAAGCAGAAGGAACACTTAAACATTAAAAGTTTACGAAATGTTACGCGGAGCACTCAAACATACAACCGTCCATGTTAGCCACATCGCGTGGCTCACATCGCGCGGACGACAAATCGTTGGTTTCATTTAAGGCAATTGATTTTGGCTGCCTTGAAAGTAAGATCTTGACTAGCCCTATGCCTAGCCTAGGGAACAGGAAAGTTGAAAGCGAGGCACAAAATATAAACCAGCAGTTTTCGGCAGAGAGAAAGTCCCTGTAACAATTAGGACTGCGCCCTTGCTTGAAATGGAATAACTACAATAAAAAACGGCACACTTTTAACTGTTGTATCTTACGGATACTATTGGTTCCTTAAGATCCGTAATATTTGCTTAGTTAAAAAAGTTAAAATAACTAGAAGTATTAATATTTCTTGTCTTCTAAAGTAAAGGGGTGAAGAAACAAATAATATAATTTGTAAATACCAATAAGCTCGCAAGAACGGGAATCTGTCTTATAGTGCACAACGCTTCATTGTTTTAAAAAGGTTTTAAAATGCATGGCGCATCAAGGTTTGCTACATTTGAGAAAATGACGCACCCATAGAATGATAAGTACTGTCGAGACTCGTCGGAGCGTTTGTAGGGAATTAATTTAGTCAGAGAAACCTAAAAAGCGTAGCGCGAATGCTGAATAGGAGATTTGCAAGTTTCACTCTGTGAAATATGACTTTCACTATCAAACTCAGACGTGGATGAAGCAACTGCGTGAGCTAAGCAACAGCATTTGCTCTTTTCAACAGTCAGAATAAACTTGATCTCTTTCTTAGCTGTTCAGGATGGAGTCAGCGTGACGCGCCGAAGCGGCAGCGAAGAAGACGAAGATTTTTCTGACTGTTGCAAAACTATGTGAGAAAACTGTCTCAGAGTGATAGAAGTAACAAAGACCTGTAACACTCATGAACCAGGGGCGGATCTAGCGGGAGGGTGCAGGGGGTGCGCACCCCCCCCCCTCCCCCCCGAGATGACCTGCAGTTTTCTAATACAATTGGTATTCTGCAAAAAAAAAACTATGTGGTTAACTGGTGTTGTAGTAGAGCAAGAGACGAGTGCACCCCCTCCTAAATATATCCTGGATCCGCCCCTGTAAACAATGTGCGCTTTAAAGACCTTGTTTATCTTTGAACTCTTATTAAATTTCAGTTTTAGTTTGTAATACGACGGCCAGCTATTCATGTGTAAGACAGACATCGATGAGACCACTGGTCAGAGCTGAGTACCTCCGTCTCTGACAGGTACTTATCCGGTATGCAGCTAGTCAAAGAAAAGTACTCTAGGTCGGTGGGTACCAACTCTAGGTGTCCATTTTAAGGGTGTGATTCTCTGATAGTCGACAGAGTTGACTGGAGTCAACAACACCCCTGAGTTCGTAAATGAACGTAAACCGACTGCCTTAGCTTTTAGGTTTTTGATGGTCTCATTAAACCTGTTGTGGGATCGACGATCCTTTTTTAAAATAAGACTTTGCCACTATCATGGAAGCGCTCCTTCTGTGTCGGAATTGTAAAAGTTCTCGTCTGTGTTTCATTTTAAGAGTAAAATAGGTTGCCTTTATTCTACTATGAAATTCTTCAAGCACTTGTGTTAGCTCCGCTTTAACTGCAGCCGGTCCTTTCTGCTGGGTTCTTGGCTCATCTACGAAGAATCATAAAAGTAATTTATCGTGAGCAGTTTACAATCCACGTTTACAATTACTCTTTGCTTACTTCAGTATGGCATTTCTTTTTTACTACACGCTCCGTTGGCTAGAAAAGGGCTATATATAGATAAACAATAAACGCAAGGGGCACCGACTTTTTACTATGCCTTGCCACGAGTAAGATATTGTAAGTCTATATTTAGGCTCTTTGTACTAAGGAGCCAACGAGCTGAGAACGTACAGTGAAATCGTGAACAACATGTACAAGATATAGCTAGGTTGTTTCTTTTAAATATTTTTTGGCTTTTTTTTCAATGGAAGCCAATGTTGAAATATACTACATTCTTCCTGCTAGCGTTGCCTCTAGAGGCTCAAGATTTTAACTATATAGCGTAGTAACTTAGTGTATAGCGTTCCGTCTGCTTTCTAACCAACGTCCTCTGAGTGTGTTATCGTTGATAAACTTAGCGCGTAGAGGATCAAGACACCAGCTGAAAAATAGGCTGGTAGTATGTTTTATACAATTGGTGCTTACCTTGCTTAGAGTTCAACCTTAACCATATAAAATGGAAAGACAAGCCACTTAAAACACAAATGAGGAGAGATGTTACGATAATTAGGAGTGTTCGCTTAAAGAGCAGGTTGTCTGTCTCAAAAAATGGAATAACTGAGACCGTTTGTATTTCGTCTGTGGGCTTGGCTATTGGCTGGGCACTGCTATCCTGAAAAAAGTCAAAAGTGGAACAAGGGTCACAAAACAAGCTACCCATTTCGAAGACCTACCTTTACTAAGAAGTCAAAAAAAAAATAATGATAAGAATAACTGACAACAATCAAGTTAAAACAGCTGAAATGGAAATTACGTCCTGGTTAAGTGGCTTATTAATAATCGAATTCATGATCATGACTCAAAGGATTATATGAAGTATGTTAGCATTAATGTCCTGTAAGATTTAAAGTTATGTCTCATATTTCGCGCTTTTTCACACGACGTCTACGCGAACTACTCATGCGAGTAACTCCAACTCTATCATTATCAATTAACCAAAATAAAAACATTCCCCCCTCGCCACCAATTCTTTTATCCATCTTTTTCTCCAAGAAAATGAAAGCGAATTATTTTTAAACACAAGCTATGGTGCAAGGCTACCCCTATCCCCAACAGGCAGTCAGTTCTTTGATCTCCCTGGTTTCTATGGTTCCTCCTTCTCTTACCTCTTCTTCCTGTAACAGTAACTCGACTGGATGATTCACTAAGTATTCTTTGCAGTATTTTGAAAGGTTTCTTGCATCTCCCGTTAAAATAATGCCATAATGGAATGTGTTGGGCAAGACTTTCACCACTTCAAAGTCAGAATCATTCAGCTCCTTTTTAAAAGAGTCCACGGTCAAGATGTCAATTAATGCCCCATCTATTGCTTGGGATTCAAGCCCTTGGAGTAGAGCGTCCCTCGTTGGATACGAAACACCTGTAATGAACCAGTGTTCTTAGAATTTTGTCTTCATGTTCCCTGAGGACGTTAGTATTTGTGAGTATTAATAGGGACCTTAAGATCCGGTGACGGCAAGGAGAACGTCAAAAAAGCAAGCAAAACAACTCTACACGTGCATCACGCTTTTTTGTATATTTCTTTGTCGTCCCCGCTTGACTACGACGTGAAAATGCCTAATTTCACGTTTTATGGAGGGTGTAAACAAGCGAGGACGAAATTTTCTTTCTTCTTCTCAACTTGGCCGATATATTTCTTAGGAAATCAACTCCAGGTGAGTTCGCCTTCATATGAAAAAGGCAGCGAGTTCGAGTAATCACGATAAAGATTGAAAGAAAAGTGAAATCACTCTTTGAGTGACGTGTTCGCGCCGCAGTCACCGTCCTCGGATCTTAGGTCCCCATTCAAGAGGCTATAACTGATGTCACGAAAGAAGTAAATCAAATTCACAAAAAAGGATTACTCTGGTGCTCGCTATACTTCTTTCATCCCGGTCAGATTTATGAAGTCGTCAGTGGTACTAAATTTGACGGCCTCTAAATATTAAAGAGCTAAGTAAAATGCAATTTGGATATGCAGCAAAACATAAAGCTTTACAATCCCGTACCTATATAGCTGCTTCCACGGTTATCGATTTTCAAACTTACATTTCATCCCTTTGGTTCCATTCATGCGCATGCCCAAAGGATACTCCATTGAACCAGTCACCACTCCAACCTGGCAAAAGATGCAAACTGAAATAGTCCATTTTACAGTGACGGGTGCAAAGAAGGCTGTAGTTGACCTTGTTTTGATACAAACCTTCCCCCTTTAGAGTAGTTTTCGTTTGAGTGTCGTAAAACCAAAACCAAAGTAATTACTCTGGCCAATCACATAGGACACAGACAATACATTGAACCAATCAAAACTCGAAGTAATTACATGTGGCTGACGCAAAGCGCGGGAAAAACGTCACAATTGGCTTTGGTTTTACTTCTGATTGGATGAAAAGGTGGCGCGAATCTTTTAAGCCAATCGCATCGTGTAGAAAGTGCAAAACCAATTACTTTTCGACACTCAAATGAAAACCGCTCTATGATGTTAATCCATGTTATTCTTATGCTAACGTGTATTTTTAGCACGATTTTCATAAGAAAAGGATAGAGGTTTGTATCAGAACAAGGTCAACCTCAGCCTCACGTTCACTCAGAGGCTAGGGTACTAAGCTCATAACTGTGAATTGGTCTATTATGCAGCACGACGCTGTGCTCAAACCGTTAGTCGAGAGAAAATCTAAAAAAGGCGTTAAATCTTGAGTTCTTAGCACTCCCACCACACGAAAGGTTTGCAGTTCGAACTGCGATGGAGAAATAAGAATATTTTTTGCCCAACTAGTCTTGATGAGAAATTGTGGGGTATCGGAGCTGATACGGCACAAATTTTTTTTGTGGGCCGGGGGGAGGGGGGGCGGCTGGGGGTCTTTTGAATCGGTAAAATCAACTCTGAGGCTGTAGGTGACGGGTTCCCAGGATTGCTCAGATGAAGTTGGTGTAACTGATGCTATAAAGGACAACATTTAGGATCACCCGACCTCATTCCCAGGCCAATTCGCGCTATGCGAGTGAGCAGAGCGGGCTTGGAACCGAGCGCGGGTGACAACAAATCTGAACTCGCAAAGAAAGACTGAGAAAGAGGCTGAGGACCACCGGTTTTTTTTTTCCACAGCGTAGTATATTTTTTCACTAGCGGAGTTATTACCATCGGTGGCAACAGGGTTCTAGTTATGTGATTAGCCCTAAGATGAAAGATGACTCTAGTATTACTTACTGCGCTCCCCTTATAGCGGGAAGCAACCATTTTAAGACCAGCCCATAAAAAGAATATCAGTGTTCCTATACTTACTTTCCGGGATCGCTCAGGATTAGCTGCCTCGTCAATAACAAACACAGTGATTGATGCTGTGATTGAGGCTATAAAGAGTGCATTCATGATCGTACCCACTAGAATAGCGACCACGGCAAGTAGTCGTCCTGGAACTGTGATCGGAAAACGATCACCATACCTGTGTGTGAAAATATCCGTTTGTATGGGAAGGCTCCCAGTTGACTTAGGCCATTTTTAATAATAAGCTTTAGTATTTACCTAATCGGTGAATAGCAATTTTCGCGCGTTTTGATTAGCTCCCGGAACGGAATATCCTTGGCTATTCACTGTTTTACGAACGGAGCCAAATGGCGTCTCGTTCCAAGACATTTTCGGAAGACAAAATTTGAGCGATAACTGAAGCAGTCATACAAACAAATACCAAGAAAGCGACGAACTTTGGCTTGTTGGTGTTTCCTGGTAGGTAGAAAATTATTGTAATGCTGAATTTGCAACAAAATCGTAAAAATGCTCTTGACAAAATCTCCGAAATGTTTGTAAATTGTAAACAAAGTTTCTACTAAGTGACGTTTTTAATTTACAAAAAGTTACTTGTTTTGTTTTTATTCAACTGATTTGGTAAATACTAAATTAACTATCCCCCTCAGGGTCGGTGAACAGCGCTAGAAATATACCTCCACGCTTCGCGTATCGCTATAACCACCACCACTATTCACCTCCCCTTCGGGGGAAAGTTGTATATTATTTATCCATCTTTAAAAATATATACAATGGATTTACATAAATAAAGTGAAAAACCATATTCTATGAAAAGCTATTAAGTGACTAGTCTTATAAAAAAGTAAGTAAAAATATACAGATCATGAAAGGAGTCTTGCAGCTCTTGCTATAAACGAATTAGTATGTGTTTGCGTTCCTGACTTTGGTATTGCTACTGAACCAGGTTTGGATCTTAAGTTAATAGAGTGGTACGTTTATCTCCAATTGGAATGAATATATTCAGGAATTCAGTCCAGCGTGAGAAGATGACCTCAAAAACCCAGTTCCACTTTTTGTCTTTACCTTCCTATGAACTGCTTAGAGTAACATTTTATGTTATCATTACTGTATCGCTGGGTAAAGGCTCAACAGTATTTTGTAAGCTTGAGTTACATGTTCTTAGACAAGAAAATCGTGCTTACCATTTGGCTTAATCTTGGATTAAACTTAACCATCTTTCGAGGAAGCGGGCCCAGATTACATAAGAGAGTATGTGACTTTGTATAAATGTGTCACTGGCGTTTGTTTTAAATGCGAAAAGGGATCATACTACCACTTGCAAACATTTTTCTCAATTCCTATGTTTTCAGTTGGGCATGGAGGAGGGTGGATACTGCCCCTGACTAATTTCAAGAATCTTGAAACTACAACGCGTCAAAAGCCGTCTCAGCCAAGGACAATTTTTTCCCGTGACATGGCTACGTTGGTGTAAAAATAGCCTCTGTAGCCTGGTCATTCGCCATCTTGGATTTCCCTAGTGCTTTTCAGGATTTTTGACGAACTGCTTTACAATAATCGACTAGTTAAGGCTAAACGTCACGCACATAGTCTTTCCGAAAAGGCGCGCATAAGGAAATATACAAATTGTCTACATCAGACAATAATGGCTTACCCATTAGTTGTCATGGTAACAAAAGACCACCATAACCCTTGCTTCCAACCGCGGGTAAAGCGTGGCGAAAACTGATCTTGATTTACAGCCTTCTCCTACAAAGACAACAACACGGAAGCCGGTGGTTAGGACTCTTGAAACTTTACATTTTATAGCAAATTTATACCACTGAAACATATTGATTAACTCAGGTTTTAAATCAGCACAGAAAATTGGATGGCAGGCTTTTGCCGAAAAGATCCAAGCGAGCTTTAACTTTTGCGTAAAATCTGTTTCTAAGCAAATTCAGTAAGCTTCATTTATGAAGAAGAAATTTTGAACCATGTTTAACAAAACAACTTTTAAATGTGTTAATCTGATATTAAAGAGTGAATTAGCCATAAGTCACTAGGATTAATTTTATTGTCCTAGTTTTCATCAAACAATGGGGGTCAGGGGCGTAGCTTGTAATTTCCATAGGTACGCACAGTTTTCTCGTGAATGACTCGAACTTATCGATTAATTTAAAAAGAAAAATGATTACCCGTATAGTACCGGCTTTGGAATTCAATTGATGTGGAAAAAGTTTAAGCTTTTTAAAATGATAGGAAATGGTCTGACGTAACTGTCAACCACGAAAAAGGGAACAAACGTTTTCGACTGAAACTCCGCTTTCGCTATATCTTCACCAGGGCCGGACCAAGATGCATACAATTAAACGTCGGTCGTACAACCAACGTTGTTAATTCCGGCCAAAAACAAACAAACAAACAAAATCATAAACAAACTTTTAGCCATCATGTCTTACCAAATTCCACACAGCTAAGCCAAAGACGCAGTACATGACAAACATCATCATAAAAGCAGGCCAGCACTTCAGGACTGAGGAACCTAACTTGCCAGCATATATTTCTCCACGATTTGGCTTTCTCATAATCATGGCAAGCCCATCTACCTTCACCACGGGGAGAAATACCCACTCTTCACTGGCAACCTGCTTTTCGGGATTCATACTGATTGGTAAGGTAAACTCAGTGTGCGGCACAGAAAGCATTTTACTGATGTTATGAATGTTGATTGTCTCCTCTCTAAAGTCAAGAACAGGCCTTGTTTGATTCTGCGCAGACATCTTTTGATCAAGCACAGTCCTATCTTGATCACGTGCCCTCCTCTTTCGCCCATCATATGCAGCGTCACCATGGTCACGAACATTCCTCATCCGACCGTGCCTTGTCTTATCATGGTCATGCGCAGTATGCTTGAACGCGGCTCTTCGATGGCCACGACCATTCCTTTTAAGGTTATGCTTATTCCTTTTATGGTTATGCGTTTGCGAGGTCCTTTCATGGTGATGTGTATGCCTTTTATGAATAGTCCTCTTACGACCACAGTCTAAAGTGCCACAAACGTACTTTATCATTTCGGACAGCACTTTAGGAAATACACCTTCAGGTTCTTGCTTTTCATCTGCATTTTTGCTCTTGTAACACAGCGGTGGGACCTGCATCCAATTGACAGCAATTTTTGCCTCTGGAACGAAAGAAAGGACATGTTAGTCAGTGAGATTATTAAGCTTTAGTTTAGTTTAATGCATTCGCCACAACAATTAGAGTTGATGAATTATAACAACGAATGTAGAGTGCTAACAAATGAAAGACAAACAAAAGAAAATGGAAAGGGGGAGGGGTTAACAGGAGATTGGAACATAACTTTTTTCCCAATTGCAACTTAACTCCCTCAAGATAAGGCAAGTTAGGATCACAACATTTCGGATTACAACAATGGAGGATTACAGGTCTCGAGCTAAGTTTTTACAGATAGAATTGGAAAAGGCTGGCTTTGAACATTGTTAACGGATTGCTGACTAATTTGAACTTGCATGGTGAAGAGTTCCATAACTCGGCAGTAATAATGAAGTATAAATTTCTGAAAAGCCCGAATATTGGATTGGCCGTATGTACAAACCTTAAAGTCCTTGAATTTAAAACTAGTCACAAAAGTGACAAGGGCAAGAGATGTAAGTACAAACGAAACATTACCATCTAAGGGAACCCCAAATGAAAAGAAAGAACGGAAAAATCTCAGATATCAAAAGTTTGCAATGTAGCACAATGAAATAAACTGTAGGAATGAGTAAGGAGAAATTTTTATCAAATTTGCCATGACAAACTTACTGTTTCGTTGTATTTCCTTACCCGAGCAAAACTTCATATGCAAAACTCGGAATCCAACTTCGACGTCGCGGTATTTCTCTACAAATAACAACAATGATAATAATAATAATAATAATAATAATAATAATAATAATAATAATAATAAAGAAGAAGAAGAAGAAGAAGAAGAAGAAGAAGAATAGTAATAATAATAATAATAATAATAATAATAATAATAAAGAATTAAATGGACCCTCGTTCATCGAGTTTTCTGAGAACCCCCAGAACGAGTTTGAAATAACTGAACTAAAACGGCAAAAGAAGGAAGAAAATTAAAACCTCAAACTAGAAATAAGGTGTCTAGTTCTACTCTCTTCCCTGAAGTCTCCGCGAGCAATTTTGTCTAAATTCCAGAATGAAACTTGCTTCAACCCAGCAACTGGATGAGTTACGCTTAATTTTTTTAATTTTAAATACAAAACGAAAGACGTTTTCATCAAACATCAGCATTACCTTCTTTAAATACTCGCCCAAACGTCCTATCATTTATATCCTACCATAGTTGCAGTAGCTTGACGCAATCTTACCCTGGTTAGTAACCGGTCCAAATCAGCGCCGATATCCTTGTTCTGCGCCCCTAACGGGCCCAACGAATTCCAATCAACTCTCGCTTTGCAGACGCCCCGCTATAACGGACACCACGATAATACGGACAGCAGTTAAATCCCAGGCAAAGATAAGTTATAGATGTTTGACTGAAGTAAACTCTCGCTATAACGGACTCTCGCTAATGAAGACACTAAGTTAAGGTCCCTACGGTTTCCGTTATAAAGGGAATTGACTGTACCGGAAATGCGTTTCCAATTTCCCTTCAAACTGATTGGCTAATTGACAATGGATTTCTTAACAGGCCAATCATGGCGCAGATACACAGGTGGGAAGCCAGGGAAAAAGGATTTCGGCGCTGTTTCGCGCGCAGACGGACTTAACCAGAAGTTTAGTTTCGTCTGTGGCGCAGGCTATAGTTGCAGCAGACAGGTGAATGTGTTCTCGTACCTGGTTCATACTTGATGAGCCATTCATCGCTAACCGGTCTCATAACTTTCTCATCTGGAAGCTGTACACCAACGGTCATGTGATACTTTCCATTTTTTTGTTGCCAAATAACTTCCAGAAGGTACGAACGACCCTTTAACAGTCTCATTTCAGCATCATTAAATCTATTGCCATATGAAATAAAGAATAATCCATATGAATGCATAGTCTACTCGTGGCCCCTGTCCAACACTAGTGCACGTCGATTAATATGTTGGAAATGTTACACTTGCACAACCATTTCTCAAGAACAAATTTTTGACGGAAAAGAAAAAAAATGGTCAAGTTCATCAAGTCTGTACCTTTTATACTAAAGCGATTGAGACGCAGGGAGGGAGGAAGGGAGGAAGACAATACCAGTAGTATAGTAGGAATGAAAAAATCCCTTTTTTGCTCAGGAATCTCATTACCTTGCGCAGGAATACATTAACGCTGAAGACATCATTAAGATAAGGTCATGTGCTATTTTTGGCTAAGACGTTGTCGACAAAATGACCCATTATTGACTTAGCGCGATAATGGGTTTTATGATGAGGCGGGGCATTATCTTATCTTACAGTGCAAGCTGCAGAGGTTGATAGTCAAGATAACGATAGCTGGCTAGACACCACACATAGAGTGGGCTATAAATTCGCGAGCTTCGCTATCGCTCGCCCCTTTTTTCTTACAACGCCGATCGTGACCTGTTTAGCTTTTCAATAGTGAATTTCTTTCTTTCTCCGAAGGAACAAGCCAACAAACAATCAGGCAAGTGCAGTTTTTCCCCCCCCACCCCTGTTTGTTTTTTGCAGTCAGGTAGCTTTTTATTATTATTATTTTTTCGTTCTTGTTGGGGTGCCGTAGCTGAGGACTCTGTTTGGCGTTCCTTAGCACCCGCTAATTTTCCTAAATTATTTTTTAACCTCACGGCTAAACAGCGCGTATTAATAATCGGGCACTCCTTCGTTCATCGTCTTAAGGCGTTTGTGCAGAAAAAGAGGCACATGCAGGCTTTTAGCAGCCTTAGTGGTATGGCAGCTATTTATTTTCATGGAGTTGGCGGCCGCATAGTAAAATTTCGTAAATTCGACTTTCATGTGGTGCGCCAGTTGGTCCCAGATGTCATTACTAGTTTGGAGCTCGGCTCCAACGATCTAGTGGAGCTCTCGCCGCAGAC